CCCGTCCTGTCCCCCCGCAGCGCTGGCACCGCCGCCCGACCCCTGCGAGGACGGGAGGAACCCCTGCGCGCCGAGGGACCGGGCACGCTGCCTGCCCCGCGCCGGGGGACACCCTGCCTGCCAGTGTCTGCCCGGGTACAGCGGAGATGGCATCCACTGCGCCGGTACGGGGACACGGGAGGGACTGCGGGGTGGCACCGTGCTGGGGTGACACCGTGCCAGGATGGCACCCTGCTGGGGTGGAACCGTGTCGGGGTAGCACTGTGCCGGGATAGCACCCTGCTGGGGTGACACCGTGTTGGGGTGACACCGTGCCAGGGTAGCACCATGCTGGGGTACCACTGTGCCAGGATGGCACTGTGTTGGGGTGCCACTGTGTTGGGGTGCCACCATGCCAGGGTGCCACCATGCTGAGTAGTACCATGCCAGGGTGCCATCTTGCTGGGGTACCACTGTGCCAGGGTGCCACCATGCCAGGATGTCACCATGCCAGCGTGCCACCATGCCAAGTAGTAGCATGCCAGGGTGTCACCTTGCTGGGGTACCACTGTGCCAGGGTGCCACTGTGGCGGGATGGCACCATGCTGGGGTGACATCATGTTGGGGTCACACTGTGCTGGGGTGGCACCACCATGTGGGGGTGGCACCATGCTGGGGTGCCACCATGCCAGGATGCCACTGTGCTAGGGTGCCACCATGCCAGAGTGACACTGTGCTGAGTAGTAGCGTGCCAGGGTGCCACCATGCCAGGGTGCCACCATGCTGGAGTGACACCGTGCTGGGGTGGCACCATGATGGGGTGCCACCATGCCAGGATGCCACCGTCCCAGGATGGCACCATGCAGGGTAGTACCATGCCAGAGTGACACTGTGCTGGGGTGGCAACGTGCCAGGGTGCCACCATGCCAGGATGCCACTATGCTAGGATGTCACGGTGCTAGGGTACCACTGTGCCAGGGTGCCACCATGCCGGGATGGCACCGTGCTGGGGTGCCCTTCCTGGCTGATCCCCACCTTCTCCCCGTGCACAGACGTGGATGAGTGTGCCGAAAACCCGTGCCACCCGGCTGCCACCTGCTACAACACTCCAGGCTCCTTCTCCTGCCGGTGCCAGCCAGGCTACGAGGGCGATGGCTTCCAATGCACGCACGGTAAGGATGCCCAGCTCACCACCGTGCCAGCTCTGCCCAGGGTGGCTTCCACCAGCCTCACTCTGCCCTTTTTTGTTTTAGCGGAAGGGGGCACGCAGCGGCTGACCCCCTGCCAGCACCAGCAGCTGTACCCCCGGGCGGTGCCACCGGGACCCTCGCTGGTGGGCGACGGGCATGTGCCGCAGTGCGACGAGGAGGGTCAGTACCGGCCCCTGCAGTGCCACGGCAGCAGTGGGCACTGCTGGTGCGTGGACGCGGCGGGGCAGGAGATCGCCGGCACACGGACGGCACCGGGCAGCACCCCACCACGCTGCGGGAACCCAGGTCAGTGCCACCCCCCCAAAGGGGACAAAGAGAGGTGGGATGGGTCCTTGGGTGGCATCCGGTGGGATTGGTGGGCACCGGAGATGCCCTGGGGTTGTGGTGGGTGGTGGAGGGTGTTGAGAAGGTCCTGGAGAAGGCAGAGCCCTGCCTGTCCCTGCCCAGCCCCAGCCACCAGCAGAGCGGGGTCGGGGTGATGGGGGTTGTGCCCAGTGGAGGGGACCCTCTGCCCAAGCTGGGGGCTTCTCTGCCATGGCCTGGGTGCCAAATGGGTGGTTGGGCACCTTAGGGGGCTCCTGGGTTTTTAGGGTGCCCACAGGGGTTGTAGTAGCAATGCCTATCGGGGCACTTCCTGTGTCACCTTGGGATGGAGGGGACAGCCATGGGGTGCCAAGGGGGGGCTGGAGAAGGGCTGCCCCCACCCCCTGCCCCAATGGGGGAGGTCAAGCGGTGCCAGCAGAGCATCACCCACCACCCGCACTCCAACTGGGGTGGCCAAGTGGGTCCGGGGGACCTGTGTGGCACCCCTTGAACCTGGGGTGGTGGCGTTTGGTGCCGGCAGAAGCCATCCAGCAGCTGACCCCCTGCGAACACGAGCGGCTGTACCCCCGGGCGGTGCCACCGGGACCCTCGCCGGTGGGCGACGGGCACGTGCCCCAGTGCGACGAGGAGGGTCGGTACCGGCCCCTGCAGTGCCACGGCAGCAGTGGGCACTGCTGGTGCGTGGACGCGGCGGGGCAGGAGATCGCCGGCACACGGACGGCACCGGGCAGCACCCCACCACGCTGCGGGAACCCAGGTCAGTGCCACCCCCCCCAAAAAAGGGGACAAAACAGCAGGGGGTGGGTGCCATCCCCTCCCCGCTGCGCCCCAACCCCGTGGTGCCCCTCCAGCATCCTCAGCACGGAGGGGCACCCAGCGAGGAGGGGGGACCCGGCAAAGCCCTGAGTCCCCCCCAAACTTGGCTGGGGGGTGAGGGGGGGTGTGTGACTGTCACCCTCCCCACGGTGTGTGTGACTGTCACCCTCCCCACGCCAGCACCCACGGAGCGTCCCCAGAGCATGTGCGAGCGCTGGCGGCAGAGTTTGCTGGAGCACTACGGGGGCAGCCCCCGCCACGACCAGTACGTGCCGCAGTGCCAACCCGGGGGGGAGTTCACCCCCCTGCAGTGCCACGGGGACAGCGGGTACTGCTGGTGCGTGGACGAGAGCGGCAGGGAGATCCAGGGCACCCGCTCGGAGCCTGGCACCACCCCACCGTGTAAGAGCTTGGCACCCCGAGCGTGACACTCAACCCCCCCCCCCATTGCCACCTCCAATCTGTCCCAGCACAGAGGGACTCCTGGGGGTGATGCTCCCTGAGCCATCTCTCCCTTTTCCCTTTCCATCCCACCCCCACCCCAATTTCTGTGCCAGGTCTCCCCAGCGTCGCGCCGCCCAGCGTCCGGCCGTCACCCCGCCCCGACGTGTCCCCACCGACGGCGGGGACCTTCCTGCTCTACGCTCAGGGACAACAAATCGGGTACCTCCCGCTCAACGGCACGCGGCTGCAGAAGGAGGAGGCGAAGACCCTGCTCTCCCTGCACGTAGAGTATCATCTCCGGCACCGGGATGGGGGTGCAGGACCAGGGGAGGGACGTGGGGGACAAGCTGATGCTGCAGCTCCGTGTCTCACATCTCCTTGGACCGCTCTTGTCTTGAGCCGTGGTGGTCTGAAGACCAGGGGGGAGTCACCTCGTGAAGGGTGGTGTTGGTTTGTGGGGATGCTTGGTGGTTCCTCGACGCTGAGATGGAGGAGGAGAGATCTCCCCTCTTCTTCTTCCAGCCCTCTCTCCAGTTGAGGGGCAGGTCATAGCCGGGGGTTGCCTGCAAAGAGAAGGAGCATGGCCATCATCGGTCACGGTCCCCGGGGCTACCAGCTGCACGGCTCTACTGTCAAACTTTCCTCTTTCCCTTCCTCGGACTCCTCTTGGAGCGTGGCCACATGCATCTCCGGCCAGACCGAGGGAGAGGAACGCTGCAAGCTGGGCCACAACCCTCCCTGCCCCGGGGAACCCAAACACCTTGCCAAGTATTCCCTCTCCCCATCCTGAAGGTCATTCCTTGGGCTGGCTTCGCTCTTGGAGCCAGCTCTCCTTCAGCCAAAGGGTTTCAAACCCATCTGGACGTGGGTGTGTGCCTGCAACTGCCGGCCTGAAAACCTCTGCTGCAGGATTCAGCCGGTGGCGGGGGGGGGACGTGAAGTAGGAACCTGTTGATGTTGGGATTTGCTGGGGAAAAAGGGATTTGAGCATGTACTGTGTCCAGTTTTGGGCCCCCTACCATAAAAAAGATATTGAGGTGCTGGAGTGGGTCCAGAGAAGGGCAACAGAGCTGGTGAGGGGTCTGGAGAATAAGTCTTATGAGGAGAGGCTGAGGGAGCTGGGATTATTCAGCCTGGAGAAGAGGAGGCTGAGGGGAGACCTTATTGCTCTCTCCAACTACCTGAAAGGAGGGTGTAGAGAGGTGGGGGGCGGTCTCTTCTCCCAAGTCACAGGCGACAGGACGAGAGGAAATGGCCTCAAGTTGCACCAGGGGAGGTTCAGGCTGGATATTAGGAAAAATTTTTTCACTGAAAGGGTTCTCAGCCATTGGAATGGGCTGCCCAGGGAGGGGGTTGAGGCCCCATCCCTGGAGGTGTTCAGAAGACGGGTTGATGTAGTGCTGGGAGGTATGGTTTAGTGACGATGCTCCTTGTTTGTTGTGTGGGTGTCTATTTTTGTCAGTTAGGCTGACGGTTGGACAAGATGATCTTTAAGGTCCCTTCCAACCTAGAAGATTCTGTGATCATTCCCTGTTGTTGGAGCACTCCCAGTGCTGGCTGGTGGGATAAGGGTGCTCATTGAGCCTCCTGGTCACAGCCCAGGTAGGATTTCACAATGTGTCCCTCTCCCAACCCCGGCAGGGCTCCATCGTGGTGGGGATTGACTATGACTGCCGGGAGAAGACCATCTATTGGACCGATGTGGCCGGCCGGACCATAAGCCGGGCGAGTCTGGAGCCAGGTGCTGAGCCAGAGACCATTATCAACTCAGGTGTGTTCCCACCACCGGTGACATCCGCCCAAAGCCACATCAGTGGGTCCACACTGCTCTGTGCCCATCACAGCTTTGGGGATGTCCTGCTTCGGGGTCTTCCATCCACACTTAGCTGGGAGTCTGGCCCAGGAGCTTCATGTCCCTAGCCACTCAACCAGGTGTGTCCCTCTGGCAGGTCTCATGAGCCCTGAAGGCCTAGCGGTGGACCACCTGCGCCGAGCCATGTTCTGGACCGACAGCGGCCTGGATAAGATCGAGAGGGCCCGGCTGGACGGCTCTGAACGGAGGGTCCTCTTCGATACGGAGCTCGTCAACCCCCGGGCCATCGCGGTGGACCCCGTCCGAGGGTGAGCAGCAGGGGGGATTCGTGAGGTTGGACACGTGCGGTGGTGGCCACGGCCCCATCCTGACCCTGGGAGCTGCTCTCCTACGTTGCACACCCCATCGGAGGGACCGGCTCTTTTCCCCACCTCCTCTTTGATTTAATAATTCAGGATTTGGCTAAACTCACTCTTTCAGTGTCAGGATGGAGATTATTTTTAAAAGCTCAAAACACGCCTGGTGCTGGAGAACACAGGCCGTGCCTCGGGGGGGCTGTTGTGATACAAAATGTGCCACTCCTAAGACTCACCCTCTTCTTGGGAGCTGCAGTTTGGGTCATAAACATCCTTCTTGTTTCCTTTTAGAGATTATTATTTTTTTTTTCAAATCAAATTAAGATTTATTTCGGGCCCCCTTCAGGGGGAAAACCAGGCCTCTCTCCTGACAAGACCCTGTAACGAAGAGAAAGCTGATAATTTCCTCCCGCTCCTCGCTGCTGTGTGTTGTGTTTGTTCACCATGTGATTATTTCCCAAGCAACCTTTACTGGACGGACTGGAATCGCGAAGCCCCCAAAATCGAAACTTCTACCGTCAACGGAGCCAACAGGAGGGTCCTGGTCAACAAGGACATTGGTTTGCCCAACGGCCTGACGTTCGACCCCTTCTCCAAGCTCCTCTGTTGGGCAGATGCAGGTAATGTCACCAAAAGCGGGTCAGACTACGACTTATTAAGCCTCAAGGGGGAAAAAAACCCCAGTTCTAGATGTCTTTAGCCCATTGCTAAAGGGGTTTCTCCACCCCTTCCCACTGTCCTGCCCCAAATACTTGGCGTGACCCGTTTGGGGAACTCCCAACATGAGTTGCTTCTGCATCCTTAGGCTGAGAAGCCGTTTCAAAATTTGGTGAATGCTTTTGGTGAGGGTTTGGTTTTTTTTGGGGTGGGGGGAGGCTTGGTAAAACCGTGTCTTGTGTTTGAAAAGGAACAAAGCACCTGGAGTGCACGTTCCCCGATGGCACGGGCCGGCGTGTGGTACAGAACAACCTCAACTACCCCTTCAGCATCATCAGCTACGCCAACCACTTCTACCACACGGACTGGAGAAGGTAAGGGAAGAAAAAAAAACCCCTCTCCTTCCCACAGCCAGAGTCACGCTAGGGAGGGCTTTGAGATAGAAGGAGATGGGGGGAAAAAAACGCTGTCCCCCAGTCCGTTCCCTTGTCCCCAGTCCCCCTCCCTGGTCCCCAATCCCAGCATCTCACCAGCTCGCTCTCTGGGGTCTCCTGCCGTGCCACCAATGTTCACCAACACCCACTTGTAAAAAATCTCAGCGAGGAAGGGTTGTTTAGAAACAAGCCCAACTTCCTGAGAGGGACAGAAATAGCGTGTGGGTTTTTTTTTTTTTAAATTTATTTATTTAAATAAAACTTGGCGCAAATTTCTGCATCTAGATTGAAGTCGAAAGATTCTGTCCTCGGCCATCCCCGCTCCCCCCTCCACCACCACCACCACCCAAGGCCCCCTCTGTTCCTGCTCCAGCTGGAAGCTCTCGAAACTTTCCATCAAATCTTAGCAGATTACAACAAACACTTAAAAGCTCGCCACGCTTAGAGGAGGCTCTCAGGGAGATCATCTCTCCTCGGAAGGCCGTGCTCGGCCACTCTGCATCACCAGAGAGAAATGCACTCAATGAGCTGGACGTAGATTTGACGGGGCAAATCTCTTTCCCCTTCTTCTGCAGGTGTTCGGACCAACCTCTGTTCTTAAATGCATGTAGATAGGGAGAAAAAAACCCCACAAAACTCAGTTTTCCTAGCTGAGTATAGAACTTCTCCCCCTTTTCTCACCAGGGATGGTGTGATAGCCATCGATAAAGAAACCGGCTCCTTCACCGATGAGTATCTTCCAGAGCAGCGATCCCATCTCTACGGAATAACCGCGGTTTATCCCTACTGCCCGGGAGGTAAAACACAAGAAAACCCACCCCCTCCTTATTACCTGACAGCATTTACAGACTCCACACCCTAAAGATCTCCGTTTCTCTCCGCAGCGAGGAAATAGCAACTGCTATTTCAAGAACCGACCATGTTTGCACCCTAGAAGAACTTCAGAGACCCACAAAACTGTCACTGCATACAACTAAAGGGGGGGAAAGCCCTTAACCAAAGCCAACAAAGTGACCTTCTTTCCTGCAAAAGATTAGCAAGTATTTTTTTTGAAGTTATTACCTCAAGTCTTTACTACTGTATTTTTTTTAAAAAGTGAAAAACGTTGATATATAACAAAAAGAAAATGGTCCTGTGAATCTTAGGCCATTACTCTAACTCTTGCTTATGCAAGCAAATTTAAAACGTCGCTTTCTTATTCAAATGTTTTATTTTATCAGAAGAAGAATGGATTCATTTTTACTTAAAGTTTTTTGACAATCTGACCCACGGGTCCTTTATCTCCAAAACTATAAGAGCCTACGGGGAGCTTTGGATGCAGTTATCTTGCTGGGTCTAAATAAACCTCCAGCCCTGAAGACAGAGACTGTGTGTGCTCCAGAGTGTGCAGAACAGTGACGGGAGACGGCAAAGGCATTGAGTTTCCTCCAGAAGACAATCCTGTATTTTCACCACTGCCTTCGATGCATGTCTTTTAGTATTTATATTAGAAGAATATGCTAGAATTGATCTGTTCATGCTTGTTGGTTCTTCTAAGTGCCTTCATAGACCTACCCAGAGTAGACCAATACATGTTCAGAAATGCCATTTACGTTGTAATGCTTCACTTTTTCTAGGTTACTTCAATAATTGAATAAAAACGGTTGTTTTACGTTACCCTTTGGAGTTAAGTTTTTAAATATTTCAGTTGGGGAGCAGCAGCAAGCCAGGAGCCAGCCGTTCCTACGGCCTTTGTGTAACACTCCCTTCTCGACACAAAGCCAAACACAATGAGAAAGTCCTATTTGCCAACTCAGAGCTAAACAGAACAATTCCTCCGTTTTCCCCAGCTTCATTTATTTAAAGAAAAATGATAATTCATTAGAAGTCAGAACTCAATTTCCTGTTTTCTTTCCAAACAGTAAAATAAGACAATTTCAAACTGCATGCCAGAGTTGTACAGAGTTCCTAATTCTAAGCACACAAGGGAAACTAAAAGCTTTTATCTGTTCATCTCCCGACTTTCCCCAGTCTGTGGTCCGTCTTGGGATCAGCAATAATGGCCTGAACTGCTACGATGGCTTCGTTAATTTTGGTTTGCAGCTCTCGGAGCTCCTCTATATGCAGCAGCCGGAGGATCTGGGCAGCTTCGTTGAGGACAGCATCTGGGGGGAGCAGCAGAAAGAGAATTAGAGAATCATAGACTCATATGGGCTTGGAAGGGACCTCTGGAGATCATCTAGTCCAACCCCCCCACCGGAGTGGGTCCGCCCAGAGCAGGTTGCACAGGATCTTGTCCAGGTGGTTTTTGAATATCTTCAGGGAAGGAGACTCCACCACCTCTCTGGGCAGCCTCTTCCAGGGCTCTACCACTCTCACAGCAAAGAAGTTCCTCCTCATGTTTAGGTAGAACTTCTTATACTCAAGTTTGTGCCCATTTCCTCTTGTCCTGTCACTGGGCACCACTGAAAAAAGACCTGCCCCGTCCTCCTGACTCCCTCCCTTTCAGTATTTATAGGTGTTTATCAGATCCCCCCTCAGCCTTCTCTTCTCCAGACTAAAAAGATCCAAGAGAAGTGGTATCAAGCGCTTTCATCTGACACGAAGGTCTTAAGAAAAGCTTAATCTCAGTCAACATGCTGCACTTCGTTCCTGCTTGTGATTTTCATGTATGAAATGGGTAATTTAGGGGCAGAGGGGATAAAAATGAAGCCAGGTAATGGTGTCCCGGGTCACCTGGCTGTTCCTTATGAAATAATCTATCGGGTTGCGCCAATTTGTGCTGCCTCGGAGTGGATTTTAGGTAAATGATGCAGCTGAAAGAGAGGGAAGAAGCCCAGAGGGGCCTCTGCTGGCAGAAGGCAGATGTACAAGGAGGAGCATTCCTCCTGCTCCCAAACGGGGCTGCCATTAAAAGCTTTTCTTTAAACACGACTCTGAAACTACATATTCCACAGTTAAGATTTATGCTTTTCTGTTCCAAAACAAAACGCTGAGGAGTGCTCGTAAATAACGAGCTGGGAGGGTGCAATTCTTTCCACTACAGGCTTCTAGACAAATTGGGCTTTTTTTTTTTTACTGTACACATTATCTTCATATTTGACAGTAATATACTCGTCAAAAGGCAAACGTCACCATTTGAAAGTAACATGAAGAGAACTGCTTACCTCCTGTGTCAAACCCAAGAATGTGCTTTTCTAAAGCAACAGGCAAACCCTTTGAAAAGAAAAAAAAAACCACGTTTAAATGTAAATCAAAGTGTCATCCTGCACGTTTGGAAAATAAAACAGTGATGAATAAACTAAAATACTACAAGCAGGTAACTCTGGGAGAGAGGACGCTTGAGTTTTGCCTATAAAGACATGTGTGACAGCTTCCAAAAGCCATCACCCTGGATTAAATCAGCGCTGTTGTGGCCTGGGCCATCAAACCCAGAGTTATTAATAAAGAAAAATCTTCATGCTTAATAATCCCCCCCCTACTTGTCAAGTGAACCCCATTGGATACAGCCTGCCCCGCGTTCCAGCCTTAAAAGGCGAACAACAGCAGTGCAGAGAGAACACCCAAGCCAGCAACCCAGACAAACAAAAAGCACACACAAACTGGGGTTTCGGAGGAATTATGGCCTTTAGGCAGCTGCCAGTTTTCCAAACTCTGGCCGATTGGAGAGCGAGTTGTAAAAAATTGTCTGTAATCAAGCGAGTCCCTCCAGCACTGAGCTCGCAACCTCCCATCACCAGCATTTTCTCAAGTGTTAAGCTCAGGAATAAAGAGAAAACATTCAATTCTCTAAACACTTGCTCTAAACACCAGCACAAGGAAAAGTTTTATTAGTGGTAATTTATAAGCATTGCTCTCTCTCCTTTACCCTCCCCAGCTGTGGGGGAGCAGTCAGGCTAAACAATCCCTCATCATGTTACAACATGCACATAAAATTAGACTTAAACAATGCAAATCTTAGAATTTGCTTTTATTACCTCCATAATTGTTTTTTCAGCATTTGCCTTATGTGACAATCAGAGTTCAATGCCATCAGTCTCTACAATGATGGCATTGTAAAACCTTCTAAGGAGCGAAGATTTCTTTTAAAGGCTTTTATAGACATATAAAAAAAAATCTGAGTTGATCAAAACAACTCAGAATAAACTAAACGCTGATTGAAACTAACTCTAATATCCCATTTTCAAAAAGTGGTTCTTTTTCACTGCTTTTAAAGTAAACTGGATGTTCAGCTGCCATCTTTAAAATATTAAATATTGGTACCCACAGCTGCTACAACCACACCAGCTTATTTATTTGCACACCAGTTTCAAACAGGGAGAGGAGTGATGAGCACCTTTATGTGTTACCATACATATTACTTCATTTCTCAGCCTCATTCTCCAAAAAATTAAATTTAAAACTGCTGCACAAAACGGTTACAATGGGCCAGACCACCACAGCCAACTGGTCAGTAACTGGGAGTGTTGACAGTAAAACAAGAATATCTGGGAGTGGGAGAGAAAAAAGGTCTCCAGATTTCAGAGTAGGGGGAAAGTGTGCCCACTTTGTGGTGCTTTTAAACAAGCCCCCATATAGCCTTCAGGAGCATCCTTAAAGTGATTCTGATGGGTATTTGTTGGACTCAATCCTTCCTGGGAACCACTCATCAGGCAAGGAAAGCCCAAGGACGGGCTACGAGTGTCAGCATAAATCTGAATCCTGTCTAGACACTGAGTATATTGTATTACCAGCCCTTCAAAACAATTCAAAATAAAATGTGTCATGTCTTATCCGGAAAACTGTACCTTGACAACCCAACAAGATAAATCTCATTTTATTTGGTACATTTAAACCACAAGCACAGCAGTGTAAGTTCCCTCAGCACAGTCCTCATGCACATCCGTCGGTCGGGGAACATTTCTGCATCTATTTTATCTTTTCCCCACTCTGTCTCGATACTGCCAAGAATGCAAGTCATGACATTTTGGATACAAAGTCATCTGCCATGTAGCAGCCGGACGTTTATAACCTGTTTCCAGGGACAAGACTTAATACACAAAGTGTCACTGGCTAGTATTTTGGCCATTAACAAGGCAGCCAAAATCAGAAGGTTTATTTTTTATCTCCTTCCATCCTGCGACCCACTTACCCCTTCTGCTTCTAAGATATCTTCCTCATTCATCCGGTACATTACAATGCTGACGCTTGCTGCTGCTACAGATAAAGCTGTTTTCCTGCCTCCAACCCCCTGCCTTTTCTCCACCCCGCTTCAAATTTGTCATTTGTAACAAGAATACACTCCCAGTGACATTTTTCACATTCAGTGACAGTGAAGTTTCAACCTAAGACCTGACGATGCTCTGAAGGACCTATGGAATCTGAACAATTCCTTAAAGAAGCTGGTCCTGCCAAACTCACCGCAAAAAATCCCATCTTGATCCCTGCATGTCAGCTGTGCAGCTATTAACATGAGTTAGAGATCCTAAAACGACTACAGCAGTCTCAGCTGCTTCCATGTTTTCCTGCTCTTTTAACGGTTTTGGGGATATCCAAGACCAAAGCTTTGATTTCCTGGTCCAATGCTTCCTGCAATTACCACGCTGCAACTCAGAGCACCTGTGACTGCCACTTGGGAAACACCACGAGGAGCCTTCTGGTGATAAAATAAAGCACAGACTGCTCTGAGCAGCCCAGAAATGATGAAGGGACCTGGGATCTTTGTCCAGATCCAGCTCTTTTAGCAGAGACACATCTAAACCTCCACCTGCCGAGCAAGGGAGGCTGCTTGTCCTGCCTGTGCCCGAGACCCAGTGCCACCACTGCTGCACCCAGTGCTGGAGAGAAGAGAGGCTGCTTGTCCTGCCTGTGCCCGAGACCTAGTGCCACCACTGCTGCACCCAATGCTGGAGAACTGGGATGTTTAAGAAAGGACAATCTGAAAAACCAGTCAGCCCCCTGAACATCATACAAATGGACAGCTCGTGGTTAGAAAATAATTCCACAAAAATCTAAGTGCAGGAGTTTCCTTCACTGTTTCTCTTTGGGGGAAGGCAGGGAGGGAGGAGTTGGACATCCAACACCCCACTCCTTAAACACATATGAGGTGTAAATACGAAGCAAAATACTCCAAACAAGGAATGTTTCAACCTGTTTACACAGCCAACGCTGCTGATTCCAAGGAAAAGCCAGGTCATACGTTTCTTCTCAGACTCTAGACCTGCTGCAGTGAACAGCAGGAGTAATCCTCCAGCAAATATAATAGGAGAAGAGCTAGTTACACAATATATCATACAGGTACATATATTTGTCTTAAACCAAAACTTTGTGCACTCTCCATAATCCTCTGGGCCTTTCAGAATCAGGATGGCAAAGATAAAGCAAATTTCTCCCCCCCCCGTCCTCGCCTCCTAAACGAAGTGTTTAAACAGAGGGGGTTTGGCCTGGGCTGGCAGACATTTACACCCTCACACTTCCCTACTCGACGTGGGATAATTAACACCAGACTCGTGGCACTGTGTATACAAACCTCCTTGGACTGACTGGCCTTCGCTATGGCCTCCTGCGTCAAGCGCTCTTGAACCAAAATGCGAATTGCCTAGGAAAGAAAAAAAAAAACCCAAAACATTGAAAGGCGAGAGTAATTAATTCATGTCTTGATGCATTTCTCAGCAATTCCAAAGGGAAACACAGCCAAA